TATATTTAGTAATTAGAATTTTATTATCAATTACCAGGAATAGACATGCGTAATCCCATGGGGTGAAGTGGCTCCACCTTAGCCTTTGGAGGCGTATAATTAGCATAATTCTCACAAATATTTGTGAAGAGTATCGTCAAAAGAAACAATTTTGCGAATAGAAAATGTTCTATCATTTTTATTAAATTGCTGTCTCTGAATTGATTCTTAATTAGTTTCTTACACACATACAACATACACAATAGATCTCCTTATCTTCTCCAACATTCGGTCTGTATCAACTCGTCAAATTTGATCTCTCGCCTTTTTTCGTCCCTTTATCTTTTTCGCTCTTTTAATAAGCACAGTTTTCGAAGGACAACCAGTCTATTTTAGTAAGACAAAATCTAGTCGGAATATATCGATTTGTTAAGTTGGTTGACTATGCACGGCGCGTAGTCGTACACTGACTTATCGAGAGATTCTTTGTAGCTTTTATTCTCCCTTCTACTTAAACAACTTAATGCAAAACCGGAATGGTTGCTGGCGTCAGTATATTGAATATTAGTACCGTGAATATTTGTTTTCTCATTTATTTATTGCCCTGCATATCGTTTAATTTAAAGGCGTGCAAATAGAATTGGACGTCTGTGTGCAAAAATAATTTTATCGCTCCAGAATTAAGTGTATATACGCACGCACGCACGCACGCACGCACGCACATTACTATTTTGGTTGACCTAAACGTTCTTTGCCTTTCAAATCAAAATCGTCTCTTTCAAATCGTCAATACCAGTACTGACACGTTTTAAGTTATGGAGCAGATTTAAAATAAGTTTCTGTGATGTATCGGTGAGCATCGGTAGCCGTTTTCTTCGAATTAAAGCAATAAAGTAGTATATCACAAAGGTGCTTTTCATCAGGTTCCATTTTCAATCGTACTTCTTCTTCGCACGAAAATGACCCTCGTTCCTTCGACGAAACATACAGCCAAAATAAAAGCAATCACTAGAGGGGTCTGGTCAGCTCCGGTGAAGAGTTGAGATCGCTGAGATTTAATTATTACTGAATTACTGAGATCAGCGCTATGACTGGAAAACGACTCAAGTAGCAACAAAAGAGAAGGCCCCGAGAAAAAGAGAATTCTGGAGAAAAATCGACTGATTTGAAAAATGTCAAGAGAAGGCGACAAAGTTTAACAAATGGACGTTTTAAAATGAAGATCAATAGAAGCGAAAGGAAAATTTTTCTTCAGAAAGGTTTTCAGAAGACTTAGGAATAGTTAATGGACAGTAAAAAACAACATGATTGATGGATCACCGCAAGGGCAAGCACTGGTGTCAGTTATATTTTTGCGGTGCAGACTATACTATTTATTGTAGTGATTGGAACAAATCCTATTCATTATAAAGATGATCTCTTCATGCTTAAGAGGCAGGTGGTGGAATCAGCGTTTCATTTCGTTATTATAAAAATAGTCATGATGTAGTGTCCTTTAACTCTGAAATCTTCATCCAGATGGGCTTTAAAAAGGTTCTTGAAGGATTCATTAGAAGATACTTGAAAATCCAGGTAGGGCACTTCGAAATAAGGTTTATATCCACGAGAAGTAGCAGATTTAACTTGTCAGCAACCTCGTTTTCGTGAATATCTTTATGTCCTGGAATCCAGACCAGACGAACCTCCTTATTTGATTCCTTGGTAAGATCGAAGCTCGAAGCAAATATGGCGTGCTTGATTTGATAAATCAAATAATTAATTAATTAGCGTTGCGTATGCTGGGAGAGGAAATAGCATCCAGAACAGATTTAGAGTCCGAAAAAATAATAAATTTGTCATGAGAAATATCCTTGGAAAGGAAAATGGCTTCTGAGATGGCCCAAGCTTTAGCAGAGAAAATAGATGTTTGAGAAGGAGGATGCATTAAACTAAAATCAAGATCAGGTCAGATCAGGTGAAAAAATTCTCACATTGACAGCAGAAGCGTTGTCTTTTTTGGAATCATCGTGTAAAGAGAGATACAATCGTCACAGACCAGGTCAATTAAAGATGCAAAATGTATAGAATAGTATGGAGAAGGCTCACTGGTATATATAATATCAGTGAGTTACTTTATTCTACTGCGTGTTGTCTTCTATTTTGTTCTCGTTATTTTTTAAGTAAAACCTTGTGAGATATACAAGAATGTATATAAGTATGACATACACATCTATACATGTGATACATGTATAGATGTGTATGTCATACTTATTATTAATAAATTGTCAACATTTATTTGTCAGCGTTATAAAAAAAAAAGATCAAAGAAACAATGTTTCTAGAAACAGAATTTAAATTTAAATATAAAAATTTAAAAACTTCTTTGAGTTTTCCGATAAAGTTTCAGAAAAATCTCTGATTTTCAAAGGTAAAAAGAATCTTCTGAAAATTTCAAGTTTTTTATCATTTATTATAATGTATTTTTGTTCACCATAAGTGTCATACGTTTTAGTCACACGTGTGTGATTATTCAAGGACTCTTGTTGTGTCACACAAGTTTAGTAGTTTATTAGTCAACTACTAAAAAGTAAAAAGTATAGGCCAATATTTTGTCTATCGTACGCTCTTGCGCTAAAGCATGAATCTGCTGATAATACTGTTAGATTTTCTGTCATTATGTGAGAATTATACACATATTTTTAATGAACCCAGTTTAATAACATTAATTTCGTAACTAAATTTATATTTATCATTGTAAAAAAAGATTAAACAAAGTGTAAGGGAGAAAAATAATCAATTCCTTCTACTTAAATTTCTTTTTATTTCATGATTGTTTTTAGATAGACCAATGGTCATCTTTACATTTTTGTTTATAAATCAGAATAATATTAAAACAAAGTATCCAAAAATATATATAAAACTAGAAACTTTTCCGCGGAATGTTAATATTGCACCCATAAGATAATTATATAAAAATTTTTAGAAGATACATGCACAGATGCATGGCTAGCATGATTAAATAATGCTAGAATATCCAATGTTTCTACATTTAAATAAGTTATTTATAGTTGGACGACACCAGTTTAATAATGAATATGCACAACACAAAGATTATCTATTGTAACTTTTGTTTTACTTGATCAGGTATTCGACTTAAATACCACTGATGTGACTGGCCAGGAGCAGTGGCCAGTATGCCTCTCATATTTACATGCGTCGTTTCTTGATTATAAGAGTAGCGATCACCATGAAGATCGGTTAAAACACCACCGATTGCATGAAGCACAGCTTCGGGCGCACAGGTGTCCCATCTTTTGCATCCGCGACTGGCGAACACGTACGCATGAGCTTTTCCTTCCAACAGAAGAATTATCTGCGAATAGACACACAATGTTTCGATTTGAAGATTAAGAATATGTTTCTGAATAATTCGGAGAGCGTATACAATCAGCGAAAACCATCAACAATCGTTTTTGCCTTACCTTATGTCCAGCACCGCCAACGCGCGTCACTTCGTCAGGATCCAATGATTTTATGGCGCTTTGGACAATGCTATCAGAATGCGAACTGAAAACGGATAACAATATGCAGATATATTCAATATAATACAATGTCAAAATATAAATATTAAAATCATTCGCCAAGTACCGAGTGGTTGTGATTATTCTCTTCCCCTCTGGAGGTGATTTCGGTGTAAATCCTCCAAATCCTGCGCCGTTAATACCCCATAATGTACGACCGTTTTCAATGTACGTGCCATTTTCCTCATTCTTGTAATAAGGTTGATGTATGACGCCTCCAATTGCTGTTTTGCCGATTGCCACACCAACTAATACTGTAACATGTTCCACTAATCCTTGTGTGTACTCCGCTGTACCTGTAATGCAAATTCTTTTATATAACAATTATTGATTGGTGCTTTGAAATATTTATGGTATACAATAATGCACTGTATTTAAAACAAATCAAAAGTACAAGCATGTCTTATTTATCATGCAGGAATTTTCTTTTATGTTGAAATTAAGATATTCATCAAATACCATCCAGAGGATCTACCCAGATGCACACATCCTTAGGATTAACATCCTCTAGGTGAGCCGGTAATTTCAGTTGCAACACTTCTTGATCTGCTTCTGTGATGATCCATTCTGATGGTACCTCACAGTTAGATGGTTCTTCTTCACCGATAATCGTAATATTTGGGAACTGACGACTGAGTGAAGTTATAATACATCGTTGGGCGCAACGATCTGCCTCCGTTTGCAGATCGTTCTTGCCTTTTTCCACAATATTTAATCCACCTTTGCTTAAAACATCTCGGATTATTTTACCGGCTTGTATCGTGGCTGATACAGAGAATGCCACTATGCGTGTTAGCACAGCAGCACTTTGAGCCATTTTTAGAATCCTTGTTATAGAGATGATAATGGCAATGATATAATATTACCGACAAGTTATCTTCGTTTCTGAGAAATCCAAAGATAATATGTGAGATGTATGCCTTTCACATGTTTGTAAAAGCCAAATATATACATATATATTTATGCGCGCGCGTGTGTGTGTGTGTGTGTGTGTGTGTGTGTGTGTGGTAGATAATTGTAGACAAATATACAAGAAATATAATATGCAAGTATATATACTGCTTAAAATTTATTTATTTTATGCCAATTGCGCATAGTATGTACAATTATTAGCCATTTAACTTACAATTGTCTTTAGGTATGACAAAGAGAAAACATCGCGTAACGTATAAATATAATGCGTCAAAAAGTAAAACTAGGTTAGACATGAGCAAGTTAGGTTTACTTATGACAGCTTATGAACAGGCACACGTGTAGACATTTGTAGAGACATTGGCCGTATCATCCTCTTACTATCTACTTGGAGACGAGAGCCAATAAACAAAGAAGAAGAAGTGTAGAGACATGCCGTGCGTGGCAATTGATTAAAATTGATGAAACAAAATATTGGAAGAAATCTATCAATCTACTAAAAAGTTTGATAAGATCATATGAAAAGTCTTACTTAAAAGGAGAAAAGTTTACAAGTTCAAGATATTGTATTTGAACACTATTTTCCAAGATTACTCTGTTTTTGTTTTATCAAGATCGAATATAAAATGTTACACACACAAAAGCTTTTTATCTGTAATATAACTTCCTGGTTATCAAGAAGGACTAGACATATCATAAATGTATATTGCTCAACATTGATCAATGGCAATTTACCTGTACAACAGAAAGAAACTATTGATGTTCGAGAGACGAAGAAACTGATTGAAATAAAAACAAAATTATCGAAAATGAAGAAGGAAAGCAAAGTAACGGAATATATCGAACAGTCTATATCATGTGATAAAGAGATTTTGGACATTATTAATTATATACAAAAAGTTAATCCAGATATAAGTGATATCATTCAATTATTGGGAAAGCATAGAAATATATCATTTAAAAGAGCAGATACAACTATATTACATCTAATTGACAAAGATACTGCTGCAAAATATGTCTCTTTGATAAAAAATGACCTTTCGAAAAATATGTGTTATGTTGCCGAATTGAATCCTGGTTTTGGTGTATTAACAAGAGAATTATTGAAAGCTGGTGTACCACTAATTCATTTGTACGAAGGTAATTTAAGATTACATAAGATACTGGAAATGATCTGTACAAAATATCCTGAAAAACTGAAACTGATCTCTTCTAAATATTCTAATCTCTTTGGAAAAATAAGAGCGTTTTACGACAATAAAGTTACTGAAGAAGTTACTAAGAAATATCAAGAGAGTTTTAAAGCGATAGAGAGCAAAAATTGGAAAGATGAAACTTACATGCAAATAATAGGTGCATGTGATAGTACACATTTATTTAATTTTATTATACATAGTTTAATTTTTCGCAATGGTTTTATGTTTTATGGAAGGCCTGTCTTCTACATCGCGATACCTCCATCTGTGTGGAATGTTGGTATATACAAGTTCTTTTGTTTTTCTTAAGGAGTATATTTAATAAAATCACTCTAATATTCGATTTTAATATGTTTTAGAATTATAATATTTTCACTAGTTTCAACACATATAGCTATGCAAAGGTGATGTTCAAATTAATGTTTAATTATGAACTTCTGGGAACATTGAGCAGAAAAGCTTTTATACCTTGGCCGAAAAAGAAACAATGTAAACGTAATTCAGCTTTTTTGTCGGCAAAACAAAATTACAAGCAGCTGTATGTGATAAAACTTGAGCCCAAAGCTGACATTTACACACAATTATCGCCAAAAGATTGGATAACATTTTCTTATTTTGTGAGACATCACATGCGGAAACGCTGTACCAGAGTGATACCTGCATTGGAGTAAGTATGAAAAAAACTATAAGGCCTCTGTCAAATAGTGTTTGTTTGAGAGAATTTTAAATACATTTTCCCCTTTACAATTACATACTATTTTGCCTCTAGGAAATGGATACCAGGCTGTGGAATTAGACTCATAGCTAAAGATTACACGATATATACACAATTTGGAGACTTGATGCCAACACAAATTCTGGAACTCTTTAAAGAATTTAAATCCTGGCCAGAATATAAAGAGAGCTATTTCATAGATTCTATGAATAATTCTGTAGGTGCACATAACGAATTCGAATTTTTTAATGAATAATCCTGTAGTACACTTCTTATAAATATATAACTGTAAAAAAATCATCTTTTAACATTTTTTAATATTCCAAAAAGTTTTAGCTTTCCTCTTTATTATTTTGTTGTGAGCAATTTAATCATCTCAGATTATAGTTATAAATCATATTCTCCCGGAAATTCCTCCTCTCTTCTTCAATTCCTATATATGTAAAAATAGCTTTCTCAGATTACTCTTATGCGTATGTAAGAACTTGCCAATGTATTAGTGAAAAAGATTATCACTCTGGTCAGTATACTCTTTCATTTTCTTTTATATCACAGTGGTTAGCCTTGAAACATCATAGCTGCCGTTACATCGCTCAGTGTAATTGCGCGTATGCGTTCGAGAGAATTTTAGAACATCTTTGTCAAATTCACAAGTCTTTGCTCGTTACCAACATCTATATGTGATATTTCTATTTTATTCTTCTTTTGCCAGGAAGGAACAGCGTGTTGCTAAAAATTGTAAGAAATCTATTCATTTTAATATTGAAAATAGCAATCAGAACTGGAATGCAGCTGTTAGTGCATAATTAGATCGCTAATAATTATTCAAATCATTATTTGTAATATAGACGTTTTTTTTAGAGTAGATATCTATATTGCTGATATCCCCGTCTTTTAATTTGCCAGTGAAAGGGATTGGAAATAGATGGAAACGTCTTTGATATTTTTACTATCTTGTAGTTATTTGATTAGTTATTAGTAATATTTATTCTCTTTGCATTCTGACTTCAATTGATTTTTGTATATTGAAAAATATTTTCTATTTTCTCCATTTACTTAACGTTTATAGATATATGTGCAATTTTCTCAGTGGCACGATGTTGTTCAATATCGTCAAGATGAAGTGTTTGTACGTTGGTTTTATATTTTTCGTATGTAACCATGTGACATGGAGTCAGGATTTAGCATTTCCAACTGATGAGGAGACATCTCACATCAGTGGTGGCAATTCCACGGTAATATTAATATAAAATTATATAAAAAGCTATTTTTTCTTATCTTATAAAACATCTTTGCAGGTAATAGATGACCGTATACCCGTATCAATACCGGGTCGTTGCCCAAAAGACATGCTTCTCTATCCAGGCGACAGTGCCAAGGATGCTTGGGTGTGTGATTGTAGACCTCGATTCTTATATTTCCCGTTGAACAATTCCTGTTACGAAGCCTACAGACGAGGTCCTTGTCCACCCAAGAATTATGTTGTTCTTCCTGAAGACGATGCGATCCCTCGTTGTATAGAGAATCCTTGCTTGAAAGATGGCGAGGTTCCATTCAATGGCACATGCTATCCTCTTCGAACAATAGGCGGCCCATGTGCGCCTGATGGAGTAATAGGTGTGAACGAAACTACCTTCCAATTGGAATGTGTACAAACAAATATTGCACCTTTCATTATAATCGACCCTCCCTCAAGGACATGTCCACCAGGTAGTCGTAGAAGCACACTCGGAGTATGCAAAAAAGTATGAATACATATAAACACATACATAGGTATTGTAATTCAGTTTGTCACATGCTGTCTATTTCGATGCCTTATATATTACATAATTCTACTTGTATATATATTTCATATGAGAAATATTGCAATGTCATATATATTCCATTTTCCAGGTTAAACGTTACAATAGAGTACATCGGACTGTATCAGGATAATTTCGATAAATTATCGTGTATTTTGTATTGTGTGTAACTTATATACAAAATTACACGCGATCTTTATAATAGACACATTTAAAGAGCATTAAATAACCAAATGTAGACATCAATAACAAGTATCTGTATTTTATATTCGTAATTTTAATAATCTGATGGTCTATTATAAATTACACATGCATATAAATAAATAAATATATATATATGTATATATGTATACTATATTACTGAATCAGAAAAAATGTAAAAGAAACGATTGTTATATTGTTATAACTTTTATTACTTATTATATTCCTATAACTATACTTACATTTGTTCATTATAATTGGAAATATAATATATACATTGTTGATACGATTTCTCCATACAAATCTTATGTATCTAAACTTAGAAAAATCGACTAAACAACGATATATACAAGGAGTTCCACAATTCGTGACCGAAATTTTAATAACATATTCCTAACTTAAAAATAAGACAAAAATCCTAATACCGAATATCAAGGCTATAAAAGTTTTTAAATTAATAGCGGTTAAAGTTAACTAATCACAGAGCTGACATTTCGCGCGCTTAGGGACGGTACATCACACAAGCGTTCATACATCTTGTATTTATCCCATGTGAGAATGTAGTAATAATGTATACAATAATGTTGAAATACTTCATTAATCATGTTTAAACATAGAAAATGATTACATATGTAACATACATAAAATAAAAATATTACAGGATATTAAAAATTATTATAGCCTCGACATTTTGATATTAGGACTTTTGTCTTATTTTAAGTCAGGAATATGTTATTAAAATGTCGGTCACGAATTGTGAGACACCCTGTATATGTATGCCAAGGCTTTGAAATAATTTTTCTTCAATTATAAATAAGAACTATAATAAATTTATAATATTCTAAAAATATTTTACTATATTATGCTGATCTTTAATAAAAAGATTACCACACTTTTTATAAAATCGGTTGCTTCGAATAGTACACATTATTGATATATATTGCTCTGCTCATATTAATTCTGCGCTTTAAAATTAACAAAGAATCTAACACAAATGTATATTCTTTGAGATTTAGATCTCGTTTGTCTTTACAAATTAACAAACATATCAAATTTACCTTGAGAAACAAAATGTTAGGCTACTTTTAACTTTGCTCCTGCTGCTGATTACTCGTGGTAGCTTCTATTAATCTTTGCCTTTCTCTATACATGGAAACTTTCATATTCTCTAGCTGATGATACCTTAATAGTTTCAAAACTGCGAAAACTGACAAACCGACCCAAATCGACAAGCTGCTCCAAATACCAAATTGAGCAGCACCAAGTTCGATATGAAAACCTGACGTATCAATACCATCAGCCTTATCAATATCATTTCCAGCTGCTAATTCACATGATGGAAACCTCTTGGTCATACATTGGCACCAAGTCATGAAACCCAAAGTTACAATAATCGCCGCTATTAATGTGACAGTGGTGAGAACGATGGAAGTCACAACATCTACAAATGCAGAGAGAAATGAACTGTCTTCGCCACGGTACATAAACAGGGACAATCGGTAGATCTGTATAGTTGATGTTATGAGGAGTATCAGGCCTACGAATATCGTATAATTGCAGTATAATTGTGACGTCCAATTTACTACAAACTGGCCATCCGACTCCTGCCATACTCCGGTCGAAAACAAAAGACAATGTCCCCTAAAAAAAAACAAACAATAAAACTCCAAATGCATAAGAGAAAAATTCATGATTGCCATATCGAGCAAAGATTTTACCTAAACTCATCCTGATGTAGACTCATAGGCACGATGATGCAGAGCGATAGAATAAGGGCCACAACGTAGCCAGCTATTTGACTGAGCAATAAAATATTTGACAGTGTCATATTTTAACACGATATGTACGGGACGATCGCGAACAAAAATATTTCACAATTTAATGTATAGACAAAATCATACGTGATTACGATAAAAGCCGGAATCCATGCATCCTATTTCTTTCATTGCACAGAACAGCACAGAATAAACATGGATCGTGGACGACTCCGTATTCTGACTTCTGATGTACTCGCAATAATCGCAATTGTTAAAATAATCCGCGATTGCTCATCGCAGACGACAGAATCATGGTGCGGTCCCATGATGCGGAATTGTCGTAAAGGCCATCACACGTACAAAATTTTAGTTGTAATCATAAGATCGCAAGCAAATCAACCAATCAGAAAACAAAATTGGCGGAACACTCATGATTGGTTTAGAAAAGACATATCGACGGAGCGCAATTGACGGAATGCTGGATTCACACTGCATCTGATTTTCGTCGTATGACGCTCTGCAACCAATCAGAAAACTGAATTTTGCTTCGTGTTATCGAAATTCTGTTTTCTGATTGGATTCGTCGTATGACGAAAATCGGATGCAGTGTGAATCCAGCAGAATGCTTGCGATTGGACGGACATCGTTCCACCAATTACGCATTGCGTATACATTCCGCATCATAGGACCGCGCCATTATGCGGGGTCTACAATAGAAGTCGTAACAATGGTTGCGTTCAGCAGACTCAACAGTTTTGCAACCGTTTTATGATTCTGCGCTGAGATAGGACTATTCCTTTAAATCTAAAAGTATAATCCAATCAGCGCGACGAATCATAAAACAGTTGCAAAACTGTTGAGTCTGCTGAACGCAGCCAATCGTAGAGTCTTAGGTCCTGCGCACAATGGAGGAAATATTAGGAACAGGAATAGATATTAAGATTTCAACCTATCAGAAACCGTGTATTCCGATGTAACTGGTATCTGATAGGTTAAAATCTTAATATCTATTCTTGTTCCTAATATTCCTCTATTGTGAGCAGGGCCTTTAGTCGTAGAAAATTGATCAATCACAGTCGAATATGAGAAGAATAATTAACTGTGATTGGTCAATTTTCTACGACTTAAGACCCTACGACCGCTACGACTTCTATTACCTCGCATTAAGGCTCAATTTCACGCAGCGAGTAAAAGCTGGCGTTTTACCCCCACTTCACCGCCACGCAAAGCAGCGTTAAAAAGCTGTTCGCTATCGCCAAGAAGACTAGAACCAGGAGAGTCAACTCGGCGTAAAAGCGGTAGTGGGGATGAGGCAAGAAGTGGAAACGAACGACACCCCCCCCTCTTGCGCTTCATCCTCTCTGTTGCTCTACATAGTCGGTTTCAATTCGTGACTGCGCATGTCAACGTACCTTGTTTCTGTTTGATTGAATTTTGAACTAAACATAAACCGTAAAAATTTAATCCGATGTGATTTACGATGCCCAAGCGAGTGTGCT